AGCATCAACCGCGGGGTAAGTACTCGTAACTCACTTAGGGACACCGTAGGACACATGGCTTTTGTTTCTCAAACTGAACCTACAACCATTTCCGAAGCAATAAACGATGAACATTGGACCTTGGCCATGCAAGAGGAGCTAAACCAATTCAAACGGAATGACGTTTGGGAATTGGTGCCAAGGCCCGATGATCGTACGATTATTGGTACGAAATGGGTGTTCCGTAACAAACTTGATGAAAATGGAATAATCACTAGAAACAAAGCTAGGCTCGTAGCTAAAGGCTACAATCAAGAAGAAGGCATTGATTTCGAAGAAACTTATGCACCCGTAGCACGTTTAGAAGCTATTCGTTTACTTCTTGCTTTTGCTTCGTCTATGGATTTTAAACTTTATCAAATGGATGTTAAGAGTGCCTTCCTCAATGGTTTTATTCAAGAGGAAGTGTACGTCGACCAGCCCCCAGGGTTTGAAGACTTTGAGTATCCCACCACGTCTTCAAACTCAAGAAAGCGCTCTACGGTCTTAAACAAGCACCTCGTGCTTGGTACGAACGCTTGAGTAGATTTCTTTTGGACAGTGGGTTCCATAGAGCCGTTGGGCACCACATTAATTGCCCAACAGCCATATTTTTGAATCCAAACGGCCAAATCCTCCATTCCCTATATATTTCCATCATATTTGTTCATTCTAATACACCATTAACATCATACTTTCATTCCTTCATCCAAATCTACATAGTTCATCTCTCTTTCTTCAAAAGCATCTCCACTATGGCCGGAGGGAAGAAGACGAAGGCTTCCAAGAAGAAAAGCACCGTCGAAGCCTCAAGCTCTGCGCCTAAACCATTCCCCTATCTCGATGGATCCTTCTTGGAGTTCGGGTCGGAGGAGGAACTCACCCGGTTCCTCACGCACTTTGCCAAGCGTCCTATTTCTCCGCCCAGGGTGCTGCCCGAGTTATACCCTCAACAAAAGGGGTACCACGACCTCGACAATCAGCTTCAAGCGTCGGGTCTGTGGTCGTTCGTCTCCAGGAGCCGTCAGTCCTACAATCCTGCCTTTGTCCGGGCCTTCTACTCCAATCTCCACCGTGACGGGGACACCATCCGCAGCAGCATCAATCTCTACGACATAGAGATTGATTTGCCTACCTTTGCTCGGGTCGCAGGGCTGCCCATCCGCGGTGACGACATCGCGACATATGGTGGCGACGATTGGATCCTCAACAACGAGGCGGTCGTCATTCGTGAGCTTGGGATCACCAACTTGATCCGCCACAGCGGCGCGCCGACGATTCACTCAGCCCCACCGGACAAGCGCCTCCTCCTCTACATCATCACCCGGATTCTTCGCCCCCGGGACAGCAGCCATACCTCGCTCTTCAACGAGGATTTGAAGGGGATTCATGCAATCATCCACGGTGCCTCCATCAATTGGGCAAAATTTGTCATGATACACATGGCGGATTGCGCTTCACTCGCCACCGAGCGGAGCTTGCCGTACGCCTTCCTCATCATGGACATCATCGTCTCCGCCGATATCCACATCGCCAGGCCAGACACGAAGATGACGAAGCTTTGGATGATCGCCGACAGCACCTTCCGGAAGAAGTTCGGAAACAGAGACGGCGTAGGCCCAAGTCGTGCACCAGCCCCCGCTCCCGCCAAGGCCTTTTTGCAATCCATAGCCGATACCCTGAATCGGCTAACCCTCACAGTGGATGGCATGGGGCAGTCAATCGAGCGGATGGACTGGACATTGCAACGCCAACACCACGACATGATGGCATACTTCCGTGGCATCAACTACGTTCCGCCACCTTTCGACAGCACCATTCTCGGCCAAAACTTTGAAGGCGAGGATGAGGACGACGACTCCTACGCTCCGTCCTCCTCCCCCAACAAGGCCGACTTTGAAGATGCGGTCGACGGCAATCCCATGGACGCCGAGGATGACGACGAGGACGCCGACGCCGACTCCTAGAATCTTCTTTCTTTTAATATGATTGTATTTTTTTAGAAGAAGAACCCATGATCGCTTTACTCTCAAATGGTTAAGTTTGGACGCGAGTTAGGCTCTGATACCAATTGTTAGAATAATAGACCAATGCTAGAGGGGGGGTGAATAGCATTTGATCAAGAAATCCCAGAAATTAAAAATAAATAGAAGAGAAGTAAAGAGAGGAGCAAGAGGCACACCGAATTTACCCTGGTTCACCACAACTTGTGGCTAATCCAGCCTCCCGAGAAACTCTCTCGAGCTACACTACTATCTCGTTAAGCTTAACGGTGCTTAACAAACCCGTACAACTTGAGAGTTCGAGTCACACGAACCTCAATGAACCTTCGAAGGAAACAACCTTTCCTTCGAACAACAAGAGAAATATTTTCTCTTGTCAAGTGTCTAAGAACACTAAAAACACTCAAGAACAATACTCTCCTTTAGAGTGGATAATGAGTACTTAAGAACGCTCAAGACAGACCACAAGCTTCACAAAAATGGCTCTCAAAAAGCTATGAATAAAGGTTGAATGATTTGCAATGAAAGAGTAGGAGTTGTGAAGTAATGTGATATGTAAAACAGACCTAAACACCCCATTTTATAGTGCCAAAATAGGCTCCAACGGATCAAAACATTTAAGGGGTTATTGGCTTGATTTGTGGGATTTGATTGAAATTGGATCTACTGAAAATCAGCGAGACAGCGCTGTCCTAGGCTTGGACATCGCTATTCTAGGCTTGGGTTTTGAAAAAATGGGAAGCAACGGTCATGCCAACAGCGATGTCCAATACCCCTACATCGTTGTTCTTGGTTGTTGACTTCCAAACAAGGAAAGTTTTAGCCTTAAATTCCTTCCAACGGTCAGGTCCCTACATCGATGTTCATTACTTGAACATCGCTGTTTAGGTCTGACTTTGAAGGTAGAAAGTTTGGCCAGACAGCGCTGTTGCTGGGTCAACATCGCTGTTCCAGATGTTTCTAGAAACCCAACCTTGGCTCAACAGCGATGTCTAACATCCAACATCGCTGTTGGAAGACTTAACGCCAAACCATGGTTTTCAGCTTCCCATGCCAGACAGCCCTGTTGGTTACACCAACATCGCTGTTGGGCTGGTTTAGCCAGACCCATGGTTGGTTTAGTCATGCCGTTAGCCGATGTCAAAATGGTAAGTTCTCCAAAGTAAAAATCAAGTATTGAAAACATTTGTTAAATGCATTTTGCTAACAAATCAAGTGAAACATCTTGAAAACCACGTCATTTAGTTGAAAACCACGGCTAGCCAAGTTTTCGCCGTTTTGCATGGTTTTCACTAAATGACCAAAAACGAAAGGTGGTTTTTGAAGCGTTTTTGTTGTAGAACTATTTAAATATTCCCAGAAGTAAAAACCAATCATTAAAAGTTAAAAACCACTTGGTTGGTTCGGACACCAAAAACCAACGCCGATAACTGAAGGCCGAACGCCAGTTTCTGAAGACCGAACGCCGGATGGCTTGGTTTTTGGTTTGGGCGAACTTCAAGTGTTTTTAGGCATGTTTAAAACTTAGGAAAACATTTTTGAAAATGCAAAAAGTATTTTGATGAAGTGAGCCTAGAGAGCCAAGTTTTGAAAGTTTGCGCCGGTCTTGATCATATTAAGACCGACTCAATACAATTCTAAGTCTTCGTTCTTGATTCTTGGTTCTTGGTTCTCAAATCATCATTCCATGTTCCTTCGCCTTGGTTTTGCTCACTTTAACCTTGTTATTGTCACGGTAGTTTGGCATTATCAAAACCTATCATAAAACGAACACGGTTTAGTATGACATAGGCGTACACACGGTGTTCCAACACGTTCCAACGGTATCTTGCTACCGTGATGACGGTACCGGCCTACCGTGACCGTTGGGTTACTATTCCTGATTTGTGAATTTGATTTTAATCAATCCTAATCACCTCCCAATGGCTAATTAACCTTTTCCACTATAAATACAAGCATAATCTTTCATATTTTTTCAAGAAACAAAGCTCCAAACATCCTCCTTTAATATTCTAAGTGTGTTCATTCTTTTATTCATTATTTTCAATATTTTGGCTATTTCAAGAGCCTTAAATTCCTGAATTTTATATACACACTTTGAGCTTGTGTTTCTAGTTATATACTCTCATATTCATAAGTTTATATTGTATTTTTAAGAGAGTATAATTTCCTTGTACACCGGCTAAGTTTTGTTCTTCATTTTTATATTCTAACCGTTGTGTAGAATCCTCTTTTCTGTTCTTCAAACACACATTGTTACGGTCGAGAATAGCCGTTAAATTCTCACATTGTAACGGTCAAGGATAGCCGTATAAATCCTTGGGTAAAGGTTCAAGGATAGCCTTTGAAATCCTTGGGGGAATGGTAGAAGATAGCCGTAAAATCTTCATTGTAAACGGTTCGAGATAGCCGTTGTGAAATCTAGGAGTGAATCCTATTGGCAAGGGTTGTTTGCCAAACTAGTGCGGTGCTTTGACGGAGTTCAAGAGACCGGAACTTAGTGGATTCGGAAATCCTTGAGGAGGAGCCTCGAGGTACTGGAGTAGGGAGTTCCCGAACCAGTATAAAATCGGTGTGCATTTTATTTACGCTTTTATTTCTGTGTTTTATATATTGCTTCCGCATTTGCCAACACCGTTTTTGTTAAACTCCGAAAAGTTTTCAAACGCCTTATTCACCCCCCCTCTAAGGCGTAGGCACAACATTTAAAACGACTAACATTCTTTGTAGTACTTAGTTTGGCAAATGAATGTTCCATCTCTCATTTGCTTCACTTGAAGTCCCAAAAAGAGTGTGAGCTCGCCCATCATTGACATTTCGAACTCGCTAGTCATTATCTTGGAGAGTTCCTTACATAAGGACTCGTTAGTAGCACCGAAAATAATATCGTCTACATAAACTTGAACCAAAAGGATGTTGTTGTTTTTACTCTTGATAAAAAGTGTAGTGTCGACCTTTCCCCTTTGGAAACCACTATCCAAAATAAATTTACTCAAACGTTCGTACCAAGCACAGGGTGCTTTTTTAAGACTGTAGAGCGCTTTCTTGAGTTTGAAGACGTGATCGGGGTACTCAAAGTCTTGAAACCCAGGGGGCTGGTCAACATACACTTCCTCTTGAATAAAACCATTGAGGAAGGCACTCTTAACATCCATTTGATAAAGTTTAAAATCCATAGATGAGGCAAAAGCAAGAAGTAAATGTATAGCTTCTAAACGTGCTTCGGGTGCATAAGTTTCTTCAAAATCAATGCCTTCTTCTTGATTGTAGCCTTTAGCTACGAGCCTAGCTTTGTTTCTAGTGATTATTCCATTTTCATCAAGTTTGTTATGGAACACCCATTTTGTACCAATAATCGTACGATCATCGGGCCTTAGCACCAATTCCCAAATGTCATTCTGTTTGAATTGGTTTAGATCCTCTTGCATCGCCAAGGTCCAATGTTCATCGTTTATTGCTTCGGAAATGGTTGTAGGTTCAATTTGTGAAACAAAAGCCATGTGTCCTACGGTGTCCCTAAGAGAGTTTCGAGTACTTACCCCTCGATTGATGCTTCCTATTACTTGATCAAATGGATGATTCTTGTTTGTTCTCCATGCGATGGGAAGCTCGGTTTCATCTTCTTGTTGTTCCTGATCTTCCTCTTGTTCCTCTTGATCTTCTTCACCTTGGGTAGTCACTTGAGGCGTCTCCTCAGTTTGCGGCTGCGTGTTGGTGTATATTTGCGTGTTTTCTTCATCGTCTTCGACGTGTACTCTTTCAAGTGAATCTGCAAGGTCATCACAAATATCCTTTCTCGCCAAGCGATGATTATCTTCGGAAAAGACAACGTGAGGGGACTCCTCAATAGTCAAAGTGCGTTTATTAAAGACTCTATAGGCCTTGCTACGTAATGAATAACCAAGAAAAATTCCTTCGTCCGACTTAGCATCAAATTTCCCCAGGTTATGTTTGCCGTTATTATGAATAAAACATTTGCAACCAAAGACTCGAAGATGGGAAAGGTCTGGCTTTCTCCCTTTGTATAATTCATAAGGCGTTTTCATGAGTATCGGTCGAATGACGGCTCGGTTTAACACGTAGCACGCGGTACTCACGGCATTCGCCCAAAAATACTTAGGGATTTTTGCCTCATTGATCATAGTTCTAGCCATCTCTTCGAGACATCTATTTTTACGTTCCACCACTCTGTTTTGTTGTGGTGTATGTGGGGCTGAGAAATTATGATCAATGCCGAGTTCGTCACACAAATCCGAAAATAGATTTCGTTCGAACTCTCCCCCATGGTCGCTTTTTATGGCTACTATGGTTGCTTCTTTTTCATTTTGAACTTTCTTTAGAAAATTTTTGAAAACGTGAAATGCCTCACTTTTGTGAGTAAGAAACAAGGTCCATGTAAACCTAGAGTAGTCATCGACAATCACAAATGCAAAGTAATTACCACCAAAACTTTTCGTTCTAGAAGGACCAAAGAGATCCATGTGCAAAAGTTGAAGCGGTTTAGACGTTGAAACAACGTTCTTAGACTTAAACGAAGCCCGAACTTGCTTCCCCTTTTGACATGCATCACATATGGTGTCTTTTTCAAACTTTAGTTTTGGAATGCCAATTACTAAGTCTTGTGAAACCAATTTGTTCAAAAGGTTCATGTTCATATGAGCTACCCTTCGGTGCCATAACCAAGTGTCTTCCTCTTTACTCATGAGGCACTTAGCAAAGTCGGAAGGGGATTTGTCTAAGTTTACCATATATATGTTATCGATTCTATCACCACGTAGAATGACCTTATTGTCACTAAGGTGTTCTGCCGTGCATGATTTTGAATCGAAAGTCACACGGTTTCCCTTGTCACATAATTGACTTATGCTCAAGAGATTGTGTTTAAGACCCTTAACTAGCAAGACATTATCTATAGAGGAGTCATTGGATTTACCTACTGAACCAATGCTGATGATTTTTCCTTTGCTATTATCTGCAGAGACTATGTTTCCTCCTTTGGCAGGTTTTATTTGAAGAAACTTGGATGCATCTCCGGTCATGTGCTTGGAGCATTCGCTATCAAGGTACCAAAGTACACTTGATGCCTTCAAGCACACCTACGAAGCACATTAATGAGTTTTAGGTACCCAATTTACGTTGGGTCCTCATGTGTTATGTGTGTGATGGTAGTGTGCTTGATTTTGTGATAGGTGTGCCTAGTGAAACAAACGGGAGCAATATGACCTGTCATATTGCAGTAATGGCAAACTACATTAGGATTGTACATGTGCCTAGGTTCATAGTAATTAGGGGGTCTAACCATATTGTTTCTATTTTGTGAAAAAGATGGTCTTTGAAAATTTTGAAATTGATCTTTCCTCGGTGCACTAACATTATTTCTTCTATTTTGAGAAAAATTGTTTTTATGCACAAAATCATTTTGATAATTTTTCTTAGGTTGTCTAACATGCACATTTTCATTCCTAGGTTTTTATCTAGGTTGTCTAGTGTCCTTAGGTTGACTAGATTTTCTATTATCCTGATTTTTAGCTTTCTTACGTTGAGTCTTAGGAGGTTGTCTAGGTGTTTGCTCAATGTTTTTATCCTTAGCTTCGTTTTTTTTAAAGCCTAATCCTTCCTTAGAAAAGTGCATAGTGTCAAGGAGTAAATTAAGATCTTTGTGCAGAGTATTAAATTTCTTAACCGTACTCTCAAGTTTTGTAACTTTTTCTTTTAAAGCTTTGCAAGATTCACATTCATTTGAAAAGCTTTCCGGTTTGTCAGCGCTTCTTTTGCCATAAAATTTATTTTTTTGTTTTAATTTTTCATTATCTTTTTCCAATTTTTCAAAATCATTTTCAAGAGTTGAAAGACATTTCTTTAATGATTTGTTGATTTTAGAAGCGCTAACAAATTCATCGTAGAGCTCACAAAGTGCTTCTTGCATCTCCTCAAAAGTATAAGACTCGGAAGAAGTGGTACATACTTCTTGTACATCGTCGATTTGGTCTTCGTGTGCCATAAGACAGAGGTTGGCAGCTTCATCCTCTTTTTGGTCAGTTGACTCGTCGCCGGAGTCGCCACCCCAAGAGATATACGCTCTTTGCTTTTTGAAGCCGGGTTTGCCCTTTCCGTTTTTGCCTCTTGGACACCTCGGCCTGATGTGGCCTATCTCGCCACAGCCATAGCACTTCGGGGGACTGTCGTGCTTTCTTCCTTTGCGCTCAAATTCCTTTTTCATGAACTTGTGGAATTTCTCGATGACGAGTCCAAACTCGTTGTCATCATCACTTAAGACTTCTTCCACTGTTTCCTTGGTTGCTTTAAGCGCTATTCCTTTCTTCTTTTGTTCATCCAAAGACGGGGTTAGAATAGTGGATTCATAAGTTTTAAGGTTAGCTCTTAATCTGTTGATGGTGACGTTGGAGACTCCGATGGATTCGTAGATTGCGTCGGCTTTTGATCTCCATTCGGGGGTGAGGCTCCGCAGGATTTTCTTTATGAGATCCTTGTTGTCGTATGTCTTCTTAAGAGCATGAAGCTCATTGATGATCTTTGAGAAGCGATCGAACATGTCATCGATCTTCTCGCCTTCCTTCATTCTGAACATCTCGTACTCCTGCGTGAGGAAGTCAATTTTGGCTTCCCGAACTTGGTCCGTACCTTCATATGTAACCTCGAGCTTGTCCCACATCTCTTTGGCGGTTGTGCAGCAAGATCTCTTGCGATAGTTGTCGGGGTTGACCGCACAGTAAAGCATGTTGATTGCCTTGGCGTAGTTCACTACCTTTTTGATGTCTTCGGCATCAAATTCATCCTCGGTCTTTGGGACGAGTTTCTCCCCAACCTTCTTCATTGGCGTTTCTTTGCCGTTCTTGATGACCAACCACAATTGGAAGTTGGTTGAGTGGATATAAATTCTCATCCGCTCTTTCCAATATGTGTAGTTGGTGCCATCGAAGAGTGGTGGCCTAGAGGTTGATTGACCTTCTCCAATCCCTGCATAAAGATTTCTAGAAGAAGAACCCATGATCGCTTTTCTCTCAAACGGTTAACTTTGGACGCGAGTTAGGCTCCGATACCAACTGTTAGAATAAATAACCAACGCTATAGGGGGGGTGAATAGCGTTTGATTGTAGAAATCGCAGGAATAAAAAATTCAAATGAGAAGTAAAGAGAAGAGTAAGAGGCACACCGAATTTACCCTACTTCACCACAACTTGTGGCTAATCCAGCCTCACGAGAGACTCTCTCGAACTACACTACTATCTTGTTAAGCTTAACGGTGCTTAACAAACCCTTATAACTTGAGAATTCGAGTTACACGAACCTCAACAAGTCCTTCGAAGGAAACAACCCTTCCTTCGAATCAAACAAGAGAAATACTTTCTCTCAACGTGTCTTAGAACACTAATACACTCATGAACGAGACTCTCTTTAAGAGTAGATATTGAGTAAACTAAAAACGCTCAAGAACAACTCAAACTTCACACGAATTGGCTCTAGAAAGCTATGGAAAATGATGTTGTTTGAATGCAATGATAATATGGATATTGTGAAGTGAATTGATATGTAAAGCAGACCCAAACACCCCTTTTTATAGTGCCAAAATAGGCTCCAACGGATCAAGGTATTAAAGGGGTGATTGGCATGAATTATGGGATTGATATTAAAATGTGAATCTGCAGGATATTGGCTTTCCCAGCGATGTATGGAACTACCCATCGCTGGTAAGCCAATTTTCCTTCAGTTTTGAAGCCAACGGTCACCTACCCATCGATGGGTAAACACTTCCCATCGCTGGGTGGGAGGTTGACTTTCAAACAAGGAAAGAATCAGCCTTAAATAACTTACAACGGTCATGCCTAACCAGCGATGGGTATGCCCTCCCATCGCTGGGTTCCCATCGATGGGTAAAGGTTCCCATCGCTAGGTAAGGGCATTCTGCCTTGTGACTATATTGAACCAAGGCTTGCACAGCGATGGGTAGAACTTCCCATCACTGTTTGGGAAGTAAAAACCAATCATAAAATGTTGAAAACCACTTAGTTGGTTCAGACGCCAAAAACCAACGCCGATAACCGAATGCCGAACGCCGGTTGCTGAAAGCTGAAAGCCGGATTCTGAAAGCCGAATGCCGAATGGCTTGGTTTTTGGTTTGGGCGAACACCAAGTGTTTTTAATGTTTTAAATATGTTTGAAAAACATTTTGATGATATGTGAAATGCAATAAAAATGTTTTAGCCTAAAGAGCCAAGGTGTGAGGCTTGGGTCGGTCTTGATCACATTTGTGACTGACTCAACGACGCTAAACTACTGTCTTCGTTCTTGGTCTCTTTTAGCTCTTGTTCTTATCTTCATTTCTCGCCTTATATATTCAACACTTTGTCTTGATCACGATGGTTTGGCATTATCAAAACCTGTCATAAAAACGAACACGGTTTTAGTATGAAAACGTGATAAACCTGTGTTTCAACATAGGGTCCACATCATTGTTGACATTAGACGTGCGCCGAGCATGAAGTACTTTGTGGTTTGACAAATAATTGGGCACACTCTCGCCCCCGTTGCCAGAGATGTATACTTCCAATAACCGACCATTTTTGCCTGACTGCAAAAATATGTCCATGTTAATTGGTTTTCAATGCCCATAAGCCGACTTCCGTGGTTGAAGCCCATATGATATGGTACTTTTCCATCTACTCTCGTAATTTGGTTGTATCCATCTTGCAAGAAATACTCTTGAATTTGATATCTAATATGATCCCAAGACGCATTATCTTCAATAATAAGAGTATTTTTATACATAATAGAGTATGAGACATCTAACCCGTTAGACTCAATCTCACCACCCCAATAGACATTTAAAATATATTGTTCAGAATTATACATAATAAATATTATATATGTGAAACTCAAATGCTTCTCAAGATGAATAAGTGGGAGGAGTAAGGGGAATTTATAAAAAAATAATCCCAAGTGAGTTTTGGCCAAAAAACCGGACGGCCTGGGGAAAAAAAATCGAACGGAGCAGGTTCAAACGCAGTCGCTAACTGCAACTGACACAACGTGTGAAAAAAAAACTTTTACCGAGGAGAAAAGAAGTCGGCGACTTCCTTCAACAAAATGCTCTCAACCAACTTTAATAAAGTTACTTTAATGCTTTTCACAAAATCCAATGCTCATTTAAAAAAACACACGGTCAATTTTTTTTAAAGAAATGTAATATGCTCCCAACCAACATAATAAATGTACTTTAATGCTTTTCATCTATTCTCATTTCAAAAAAACACATGCCCAAAATACCAAAAATGACAAAAAAAATCCAATAAGGATGCTTCATTCCCAAATTTAAAATATTTAATACTCCGTATTGAAAAAGTTAAAAATTAAATAAAGGTTCTCAACAAAATAAAACAATGACACGAATATTTTGGATGATAAAATATAAGGTTCTCAACAAAAAATTGGAAGTTTTCAACATTCCACATTTTTTTGAAATTTAAAATTACATGACGTTACGGATTTGGATACATATCATTCCAGTTAGAGCCTAGAAAATCTAAACCGAATGGCCTGTCAGTACATTGAGAGTTTAAGTTCGGTAATGGTGGAGTCGAGGTCGATGCACCAGTGTCGAAAATATATCCTGATCCGGTGTATGGTGTGAACCCGAACTGTGTCTGCATTGGCATCGTACCAAAATTAGTGAACTGGTTGGGCGGTGTTTGGAACCTGTGTGATGTCTCGGGAATGTCATGTCTTCGATTTGCATTGCATGGACGAGGATGTTGTTGTTGCTCGTCAGTTTCTACCTCTAGATCATATGTTGTTGGGTCATCCGTGCAATTTCATGAGCTTGAGAGGGGTGACCGCGCAACACCTCACGCATTCCACCGATCTAGGTTTATATGTAGGAAAAAAATGGTTAGTACTTAAAATGGTGATGAGTAAAATCCATAATATATTTTAACACTTATACCAGGATATTTATAGATGCAGCAACACTATCAATGCCTATTGTCGGATGGTGTGCCGGGTTTCGTATGTAACGCCGTGCACACATTTGGTACCAATCTCGGTATCCATGTGCCAAGCCTTCACCTGTATCTAACACTGATTGTAGTTGCTCCATCTCCACTCGATGTAAGAATCGATCACGACTCCACGTATTCCAATACAGTACAAAGAAATTAATTTGTACATTTCGTCTCACAATATTATGCAATTGCTCATTGTACTCAATTGGCAAAGCTGGAATATCTTGTAGATAGTTGAACTGTCGAGCAAACCTCCTAGGCATATGTGGCTCAATAAAAATGTCAAAAACAATATAACCCTCATAAAGCCAGAGAACCCTACCGGCCTGACAAAAATTTGGAAGGACGGCCAAATTATACGGAGTCCATACGACCTATAAGAAATACAAAATTAATTTATAATTTTAAAAATGTGGACTTGCCCGGAATAATTTCCTAATTCGCCACCTGAAATTTAAAAAATATTAAATTTAAATTTTAGTAACATGCGTAGTAATATTTCTAAAAATAAATACAATATTTCACATACTGTGCGCCATATGGCTCGTCTCCCTCATTACGGAGTGGTCCATGAACATCGCGTCGAAGATTGCGCGTTTCAGGGCATATTGTTATTAGCCGTGTCCAAGCCCAAAGTTGCAGAAGCAAAGCACATCCTCTCATTTTTAGAGTATCCGTTCTCCGTAACACTACTTTGCACATATTATGATACAAGTTTGCCAAGACAGCAGAGCCCCAATTGAATCGATGAATGTCATCCAAATTTGCCAAGTATGGCAAGAACTCAACACTCACATACGTGTTTGACGTAGTAGGAAATAACAAACCTCCAATCAACTGTAAAATAATCCCTGTAGTATACTGAACTGCTTCCTCATCAGTGCTATCCTCAGACAGTGGGTCTCGACCTTCTAGTCTACGCAAGTTAAACCCCAATGACCCAAAATCAGTGTCATCCACCGGAAAGTCAAGAACCCTAAAAAATAACCGTGAATAGGTTTCCCACAGAACATTTTGCGTAAAAACAATGGGTTCACCATCCACAGGTAATCCAAGAAGACACTCAACATCTTGTTAGGTAATCCCTAATTCGCCAAAAGGGAACTGAAAGGCATGAACCTTCGGTCTCCACCGTTCCAATAGGGCTGTGATTAAACTGTGATCCAATTTAATTGGTTTTACACGATGCACCCCGTAAAAACCAGCAGTTCTGAGATTTGTCTCTATCCGATCATCTTCGTAAGAGCTCTCAACGCAGGTGTCATACCGACAACAAAAAACTTTTGCATCAAGAAAATCTTCCTCTTCCCAAACGCGCCTTGAACGATGCTCTCGTTGAAGCGTTAATACAACATCGTTTCGAGGACCGGCAATATCACGTTCAATTTGGTCCATTGATTCATTAAAATTTAATGCAAATACAAGGAAATATAAGAGAAATAAAAGAAAATATACTCCATATTTCCATGCTAAGTACAAATGTGGGAGCATAATAATGTATCAAACATAAAAGAAATAATAAAAATATACTCTAATATACTCCAAATATATTTCTACCATATATACAAAACATCCCTAAAGTTATTATATACAAATGCAAAATATAAAAGCAACATATATCTATCATAAGAATATATTTGATTCGTTTTTTCATACTATTTAATACTAAATACCACATTTCTAAAAATTAAATAAATTTATATGATAATAAAAACGAAGTCTAATCATTTTTGCCAAAAAAATTATAATGACTTTAAAGAATAAAAATTAAAAAAATAATAACATATCTTTTAATTGAGAGTAGAATGGAGAAGTGTTGTGTTGTGAATTGTGATATAATTTAGAGGATTTGAATAAGGAAGAAATTGAAAAGGTTTAAATTTAAGATAATGTGTTGGAAAGGGGAGGAGAATGTTTGAATTTGAAAAGATGGTTGGAATGTGTGAAAAGGAGAAAAATGGTAGGGTAATTTAATAGGATAATTGAATGGTGTAATTGAATAAGGGAAGAAGGGATGGAAAACATAACGGCACACGTGACTTCTTTTTATTTTTTCTCAAAGGAAGTCGGCGACTTCCTTTGTCACTGACTCAAAATTCTTTGGCTTTTTTGGAATTCAATCAGAGAAATCTTCCCTTTCTAGGAAGTTACCCACTGCTTTGGGGGACGCCAGGATTGGATTGGGCTGTGGGTATCGGTATG